TGGCAACCAATAACAGACTTTCTGTCTCTATAGACTCGCCTATTCTGAACAATCTCATATAAATGGAATCATACAATATGCGTCTTTTTGTGTCTGACTTTTTTCGCTTAACATAATCTGTTCAAGGTTCACCCAGGTTAGAGCATGTATTAGTACTCAAATTTTATGCTTGAATAATATTCCATTGTACCACATTTTGTTTACCTATTCATTAGTAATGCACATTTGGGCCATTTGGGGGCCTTTTTTGGGCCATTATATACAGTGCTGCCATGAATATTTGTATATAAGTTTTTGTGTGAACGTAGGTCTTCAGTTCTCTTGGGTATACACTTCAGAGTGAAATTATCGGATAATATGACAACTCTATGTTTAACTTTTTGAGGAACTGTCCAACTGTTTTCCCCAACAGGTGACCATTTTACATTCCCAACACCTCCCAACAGGAGGTGCATAGGAGGTGGTATCTCATTTTTTAAAAGATTTTATTTATTTATTTGAGAGAGAGAGAGGGAAGGAGAGGGAGAATCTCAAGCAGACCTCCTGCTGAATGTGGAGCCCGATACGGGGCTCAGTCTCAAGACCTTGAGATCATGACCTGAGCCAATCAAGAAAAGGACACTTAACTAACAGAGTCCCCCAGGAGCCCCATTTGTATCTCATTTCCCACATCCTATCTTGGGAGTCAATTTTAACAGAAACTGTAGCATGTAATACACACACTATACACTCGGCTTTCCCACTTAATATATTATGGAGATCATGTCAGTATGTACAAAACTGCTTATTCTTTAGGCTGGCTTTATGGTAACCCACTGTATGAATGTGAAATCCTGGTACTGGTCGGTCATTTACTTCACCACTTCCTGCTGCTAAGCGGCTCTGTTTCTTCCTGGTCTTTTGTATTTCATCAGTGCTGTAGCAACCGCCTCGGATAATCCATTCTCCACGTGCAGTAATTCTTCTGTAATGATCATTTCTTGAAGTGATATTCTAGGTTAAAGGGCATATATGTTCTTTTGTTTTTGTTTAAATATTTTATTTATTTATTTGATAGAGAAAGAGAGAGGGAGGGAGAGCACAGAGGGAGAGTGAGAAGAAGTGGACTCCCCACTAAGCAGGGAGCCCAAAGAAGCTCCTGGATCCCAGGACTCTGGGATTATGACCTGAGCCAAAAGCAGATGCTTAATGACTGAGCCACCCAGGCATCCCAGGACATGTCCTTTAAATGGGCCCAGGATCTTAAGATCAAATTCGTGAGGCTATTGTCTTCTTAGTATGGTACTCCTGTGTGGGCTGACTATGGAAACAATTTTTTGAGGGGCTTGGGCTAAGGATATGGTTCATAAGGAGCCTTCCTTGATTAGCAGTTCCCAAAGAGGAGGTAGACCCTGAAGAGGGTTTGTCTTGAGGTCCTATCTTCCCTCCTTTGGTGGAACAATGGGGACTCAATGAAGATGCTGAGTAAAATATTCATTTGTTCATGTATTTCTCCAGTCAACAAATATTTATTGAAAGCCTACTTGACCCTGACATGTGGTGCTAAGTGCTAGGATGAAATGAAGACAATATCAGACTAGACTCTCTTTTCACTGATGTTTTCAGGCTTTTGAGGGGGAGGCAGACATTAATATAATCCAGGGTAAAGTAACATAGTGAGAGAAACGTGTGTCATGTATATCATGCCGCTATAGCCTGTAGCAAGGGTCTGAGGGTCAGCAAAGAGTTCCCAGAGGAAACATGTTTTTGTTTTGTATTGTATTGTTATTGTTGTTTTTTAATATTCTGTTTATTTCAGAGAGAGAGAGAGAGAGTATGTAAGTGAGAGAGAGAGAGAGAGAGAACACACCTGAGCCACCCAGGCCGCCCGAAGAAACATGTTTGAATTGAGATATGAAAAATTAAGATAAAATAAATAAGGGGCGCCTGGGTGGCTCAGTGGGTTAAAGCTTCTGCTTTCGGCTCAGGTCATGATCCCAGGGTCCTGGGATCAAGCCCCACATCGGGTTCTCTGCTCAGTGGGGAGCCTGCTTCCTCCTCTCTCTCTCTCTGCCTGCCTCTCTGACTACTTGTGATCTCTGTCTGTCAAATAAATACATTTTAAAAAATCTTTAAAAATAAATAAAAAATGAATTGAGATATGAAAGATGAGTAAAAGACTAGCTGAAGGGAAAAATCACAGTTAACAAAGTAGGGAGGCACTAATTCCTGCTACACAGGGTTGCTAAGGGAATTCGGTTAAACAATATTATGAAACGTATCTAGCAAAATGCTTGGTGCATGTCAGTTATCTGGTGAATGTTTACTTTGCCCCCAGTCTTCCCTTCACTCACAGTGAATGCTAAAATCCCAGATCCCCATGCGGACCATTGCCACTCTAGCTATGCTCGTCCTTCGTATTTCTCTCCCAACCACTTCTCTCTCTTCCTCTACTTCCGCCCCCGAAGCCCTGGAGTCCATGCAGAGAGGTCTACCTTAGGAGCTAATTAGATTTAGTAACCATCATTTATTCTGCCCTTAGTCTATGCTAAGCACTTTGCATCCATTATTTAATCTTCATGACAGTCTTAGTAGGTTAGACTATTATTACTCCCATCTTATAAAGGAAGAACTGAGGAAAGCAGAACCCAAGGACAATAGCAAGCAAATCACAGAGCAGGACTTCAAATCTAATTTCTAACCACTAACCCTTAGGTGCCTTGGGTTGGTAGCTGTCTTTTGTAGGTCTTACTTATCCAACTAGATGACAACCTGATTTAGGATAAGGACTTGTGGAGGGGAGTGGTGGCGGGGAGAGGGGGGCTGGCCAGTTCAGTCGGCAGAGCATGTGAATCTTTCCAGTCCCACACTGGGCAGGGATTACTTTAAAAAAAAAAAAAAATCTGCCTCTAAGGGGTTTAGTAAGACAATAGCCACGCCTTACCGAGCAGCTCCTATTTATTTACTTGTATTCACTTGTATATTACTTTCCCCACTTTACAGATTAGGAAACTAAGGTTCAAATAGATTAAGTAATTTGGCCAAGGTGGTGGAGATGGGACACGACTCTTGATTTAGATATGCCCATTACCTACCCAAAGATGACAGCCAATAATCTTTGTACTTAATAGACGGGAAGCACAGGACTATATTCACCCAGACCCTGGTTAACTTCAGCTGGCATGACACTTAGGCAATGACAGTGACTATGGGAGAGAGGGAATTGTTGGAGAGCCCATCTCTTCCTTCCAGCTGTGTGAATATAATTTAGAGCTCACACTAAGCAGAGCCCAAAGGGTTGTTGTGGAATTCCTGGGTTCACACGCCAATCATAGGCTACTATGAACGAAGCCCCTTTTTGGGAGTTTTGTAGTTAATGATAAAGATAATGTTAGCACTTATGGAATGTTTTCTATGTGCCAGGCTCCATTCTTTGTGCTTTACAAGGATGAATTCATTTAATTTCCTGTTAAGGACTCTTACTATTCCATATAACATCTAAGGAATCCGAGGTACAGGAAGGCTAAAGGATCTGCCCAAAGCCCCCAACTAGCAAGTAGTGGTCCTTGGGACATCTGTCAGTGTGACTTCAGAGCCCTAGTGTCTCCTGACAACAGTGCAAGCGTCACTGAGTCCAGCACAAAAACAGACAAAACTTTAATGTAAGGAAAGACCAAAAATTCCTGCGGGCTAAGTAGAAAAGTTAGTTTTTAAGTGCCTGCCTGCCTGCCCGCACGTCTCCATCCCCAATTTCTCCTTTCCTCACCCACTCCTCCTGGAAAAACAAGACCTCAAGCCGAGAAAGTAGGGGAAAGGTCGCGGTTGTGATTTGGCTCCTCCCACCCTGCTTCTTCCGTCCTTTTTTTTTTTTGTTCAAAATCCCGGAGCCCTTGCAAGCTCCCGGGTTCTTGCCTATCTAGACCCGGCACTTGACCCTGACATATAAAACCGCCGCGGACCTGCCCAGAGTCACCTGCCCTAGCGCTTTGGTCTAGTGCCCTCCTCCTCCCCAGGAGGAAAACTATGAAACCGCTGACAGCCTTAGAGGTTCCTTCCCAGAGTCTCCCAAGGACTCAATTTCCTGAGATCCGGCATTGGGTGCTCTCACAGCAGAACCTCTACATTTCTCTAGATTCGCGGGGGGTAGGTGGAGGGCCGTGGAGAGCTGCTAAGTCTTCCCAGCCCCCAGGTCAAGGTATGAAGCTCGATCGTCACGTCCTAGCTCTTTGGTTCTGCCTGAAATTAACTCTTAAAAACTACATCTAGTGGCCACGTTTTGGGTGAGAAAACAGGCCCAGTGAGTACAAAGTGACTTGCCTCGTGCAGTCAGGCACAGACGCCAGTGCCCGCTGAGTAGTTCACCTTATACAGGACAAACTTTCGTAGAAAGCAGAACATAATAGGATGTGAAACGGCCTCGCCCTTCCAGTGATATCAATGGCAAATTAAACTTCATTGGGAATGGGAGGGCGGGGTGCGTGCTCGGAATCTTGGTACTTCCAGAAAGAGAAAGCTCTACAGTCGCGGGAATTTAAATACTGCGGGTGGGGGAATGGGTGGGGATCTGATGCCTTCTGGCAATCTGTGCTTTGTTGGACCGTCTGGTGAGGGAGCCCTTCTCTGCGTTCCCGCCTTCTTCCCACCGGAGAACCTCTGGATTTGGACACTTCAGATGTGTCTCCAACCCACTTGGAATGGGAGTATACGTGCTGATTCCCTCCCGTTTCCTGCGGCACAGCGGTCTGCGTTAACACACACGCTAGTCCTATTGCACACAGCAGTGACTCAGAGATCCAAAGCGGCTATTCTCCGAAACTGGTCATACTGGCATTGGTGCACTAGGGTCCAGACGTCGGACCGCCCCCGCGTGGGGGCGGGGCCGCGGACGTGCGTCAGGCGGAGCGTGCGGCCCGAGTGCGCGTGCGCGGCTCCGGGACGGGGCGGGGTCGGGGATATAAGAGGGCAGCGTGGGCCGCGTAATTCTGTCCCTCTTTGCCTCCGGCTGCGGCTTTACGTTCGGAGAATCGTTTGGGCTGTGATTTAGCGCTCCTCGGGAGCTGCCTTTTCTCCGGTCTTCTGCACGACGCGCTGTTACAGCGAGCGGGCCGCTGCTGGCCATTCCTCCTGGAGGTGAGCGGCCGTGTGGGCTTCCCCGGCTTTCCGCCCCCTTTCCCCAGGCTGCGTTGCCCCGCGGGCCGCCTGGGGGTTCCCGGGCTGGGGCCGCGTCTCCTGGGCTCCTGCCCTTACGCTCGGTCTCCGTCTGGGTCCGGAGTCAGCCTCTCCTGCCCTGTTTCCAGGGATGGCCCTATGTTTCCTGTGGCTCTCCCCATGCTCTCTAGTGCGGGGTTAGGCGTCCCAGTCCTGCCATCCCAAAGCACCCTTTGTATCACAGCACTTGGCGTGCTGTGTGTCTGACTGCCTAATTTCTTGCCCAGATTGTAAGCCCCGTGAGGGCAAGGTTGATGTCTACGGGACCCCGGCCCTCGTACCTTCCTGGGTGCCTTAACACGTTGTAGGTATCCAGGGTGTGTTTGTTAAATAAGTGAACTTGATAGATTTTAATGTCTTAGAATTATTTTGGCTTTATCAAAAAGTTGATGATGGACTGGAACCTGACTGAGATGTGAGGAGAAGCCCTAAGCAGGTTGTTTTCTCAGGGGCGTGTCCTTACCTCCCCCCTCAAAAAGACTCCGTTCAGGAAGGTTTTTGGTCCCTGGACTGTGGCATGGGGATTGTGCGATGCACCTGGCAAAAGTAAAAGGTTTTATTTTAGAAGAGGTCAAAATTTTACAGAGTGCCCTTGGATTAGTCCAAGAAGCAAGACTAGCTCTGCAGCCATGGAGTTTACAGTGTAAATATGCTTGGAGGTTCTGTTGCAGAAGAACATCTACTGGTCCCTGTCTCCCTGACTGGCTGAGCCTCACCCTTAGTTCCATGGGAAGATAGAAGTCAGGACTAGGAGCATGCATATCCCAAAAGGCTGTAGATTAATCTCACCTCTTTTTCCTCAGTATCCAGAGACCTTCGAGAAGTGAAGACTCCACTGCTCTACAGAGGAGAGGGGTCCTGTCAGCCATGAAGCCTGTGCTGAACCTCTATCTCTTAGGTGTGGTGCTGACCCTGCTCTCCATCTTCGTTAGACTGATGGAGTCCCTGGGGGGCTTACTGCAGAGCCCATTGCCTGGGAGCTCCTGGGCCACCAGAGGTCAACCAGCCAGCACAGAGCCCCCGAGGGTGTTCCAGACCATCCATCCAGAGGGGTGTGATAAGCCCTCTCTCCACCAGCTGTAACCTTGGAACACTGGCGTAAACACATCCAGGCAGGTGTCCAGTTCCTGGGCAGGAAAGCTCAGAACCTCAGTGTTACCAGAACTGTTACCAGGCCCATGAAGGGCCTCCACCTGGATGCTTCTTGCCCTGGAAGAAGAGCCTGTCTAATATACAGGTGTTAGTGGGTTGCCTGTGACTGCGATGGAACGCTTTCACTGTCCTCCCCAGGGTCTGCTGTACGCGCTGGTGTCCTTGGCAGCATGGCTCTGATGCCTCTTAGGGACTTGTGCTTCATATTCAGCTGTTGGGAGATGGTGTTGTCCTCATCTCTGCTTCATCAACATCGGACAAGAGTTCCTTCGGGCTTGGGTGTCTTATGGTCAGTTTATGTGGTAGTCAGCTTCTCTTCATGAGAGCTTGTCTGTGTCTGGACGACAGTTGAAGTGGTATATGGGTTGGCTGTAGGGAGGGGGATGATGAAACAGTCAGTGTCCACCTCTCATTGTTTCACATGGTAGAGTCCTTTCTCCAGCAGAGCATGTGTGCGTGCATATTGGTCTGAAGGGGGCAGTGGGATGACAAAGCCTGCGTTATGGCCACCATGTGGCTTAAATGAATTTTTCTAATGAAATAAAAATTGAATATATACTTCTAGTATGTGTCATTGGCCTCTGCCCTTGAAATTAGTGGTAGGGAAGGATCTTAGTTCCTAGATTTGGGGTTTGACATCTTAAAAACTCAGGAGCAGAAAAGTACTTAAAAACATTTTGTTTAAAACATAATGTACGGGCACCAGGGTGGCTCAGTTGTTTAAGCATCTGAATCTTTTTTTTTTTTTTTTAGATTTTATTTATTTATTTGAGAGAGAGAGGTCACAAGTAGGTAGAGAGGCAGGCAGAGAGAAAGGGGGAAGCAGGCTCCCCACTGAGCAGAGAACCCAATGCGGGCCTTGATCCCAGGACCCTGAGATCATGACGTGAGCCGAAGGCAGAGGCTTAACCCACTGAGCCACCTGGGCGCCACCCTAAGCATCTGAATCTTGATCTCAAGGTCGTGAGTTCAAGGCTCTGATTGGGCTCCACACCATAGAATTTACTTAAAAAAAAGAATATAATATAAGTAAACCTGAATTTGGAGGCAAGGGCAGTTGGGTCTGCCCTGAATCCATCAGTTTAATGAGCCTGGGCCAAAAATATCCTAGTCTTCTCTTGACTCTCCATTTCTAAAGAAAAAAAAAAAAAGATTTTCTTCTACTATCGCCCCGCCACCTCAGTCTCTGGGGGAAAGAGGACTATCAGCCCAGTATGCTTTTTTTCTTCTATCCTATTAGCCACCAGAATGAGTGCTCAATTTTGATTGTTCTCCAGGTAGGCCGGTAAAATGTCCACACTTCACAGACGGTTATTTCTGCTCACTCCCAGAACTTCACAGCTTGGCTTTTACACAGAAATGGAGGGTTTGGGGTTTTTTGTTTTTTCCCTTGTCTGTATCCACTCTTCTCCATGCCCTACTCCATGTTAAGTGCATTCACTCCTCTGACCATGGTAATACATCCATTCACACTCTCTTGATGTGTGTCATTTTACGTATGGTGAATTTGATTTACCTCAAAAGGTAGAAATGGAGTATGGCGCCTCTACTAAGCCACTTTTGCTTCCTGAGTTGTTCTTGAGCCTAAGTGCCATTACTTTAGAAGCTGCTGGTTTGGGTAGCTCTTCTATTTATTGCACTATGGTGGTCACTAGTGCTGTTCAGCAAGTGTTTCCAGCTTCCCACTTTCTGGGCACATGGTGCGATCTGGCCCCCGATCCTCTGGATGTCTGGGGTTCTGTGGCTCATCTCAGTAGCATAGTACAGTAAAAGATTAGGTTGGCTTTTCATCTCTGATTTCAGGCACTTTAACGTGCCAGTAGCTATCCTAGAACATACTACTTAAATTTGATACATTTTTCTCATTCTCACACCTCCAACTCCTTCAGGGTGTCTAAGTGGGAGAGCTGCACCTTAAGGCTCTTTCCCAAGCAGCTTAATTGAAATGATTCACAGAGTGCCAGAACTTTTGTGAAATCTTCGCTGTAAGATAGTTGAACCTACTTGGAGATTTTAACAGACGTGATGGCCATACCATTGTTCTCATCTTTCCTATGAAAAGGGTGACCTGCTGTCCCCATTTGCCTGGCAAAGGGATTTTCTGGGATGCAGTATTTTCAGGTCTGGGTTACCCCAAGACAGTCTGTCAGTCATCCTACCTACAAAGCTGAATTCAAAATGGCATTTGTCCTTGTAAACATTTCTCAGCTTTATCTGTTAACCAGTTAGGGATGTGAAGCAGTAGCTTCTGTGAGCCCTGCAAGCCCACTGATTTTTCTTTGCAGCTCTTGTGCCTGCTTGCAAGCTGGCCATTTCAGTTCTTACCTGAGCTAATCCTGTGCTTTGTCACTAGTGACCAACAGTATCCAATTCAGGCTGCTAAAATTCCGTTCTCTGACTTTTCTTCTTAGATAGATTAGATCAAGTATGTCTTCTAAGTTACTGCAGGCGACAGCTTTACCAAATACTTTGCTGCTGTATAACATGAGTTGCCCTCTTCTTATCTTTAAAAAGATCATCGCTTTGCTGCTTGCCCTCCAAGTAAGTTAATGTCGGGCATTGTAAAGTTTTTTGTTTTTTTAAATTATGCAACATCCACCTCTATAGTCCTCTCTCCTTATCAGTCAAGGACACATTAGGTTAGGTTATGCTGCAGCAGCAACAATTCTGAATTCTCAGTAGCTTAAAAGCAGAAGAGTTGCCTAAGACTGTGCTCCCAGGAAGCAAAATTAGGGTCTAATCAAGGAATATTCCCTTCCGCCAGGGTAAGGGACCTTCACATCTGCTCTGTGGCTTATCATGATTACTAGGTTGCTGTGTTTCCTGTTCCTCCCCTTCTCCCTTAGTGCATTCATCTTGTCCCTATTCTACCAATATTTATTAGATGTGTGGGGCTTGTCTTTTGAGTGTGTAGTTCTCCATCTGAAGCTACCTCGGAAAGTGATGTAGAGACTATAGTGCATCATTCAGAGATTCTTGAATTTGAACTTGATGTAGCTGGGAATTTTACTGGGTTGTCTTCTTTGGGGAGGTATGGTGAAAGCAGAAGGGACAGTGAGCTGCAGGAGGGATAGTGAGCTAAATGGTTATTGACTAGAAGGGTCATTAATGGTCTCCAAATATTTCTGCCCTTGTCTTTCAAGCACATGATAGAAGTGTACTTCCTGACACCTTTGTGGTTGGACAAGGCCATGAATTAGTTCTGACCAAAGAGTTGTGAGTGAAAGTAACTTGTGTCAATTCTAGATTGGAACACCTGAGTGTTATGCCCCAATAATTGATCCATGATTAAAGGAGTGAGACTGATACAAAGCAAAGGTCAAGCAAAGCTTTATTTCGTGCCAAGCATCAAGAATCTAACCGAACATTCGGGGACGCACCTCTTACAAGAGAGGGGGACCCTTCTCTGTTTCACAGTCTAGCTTTTAAGGGCAAAGGCCATGCGGTCGGGCCTGGCCACGCACAGGTGACCAATGAGATTGTAACACACACAGGAAACGCCACAGAGATGCTAGGTGACCAATTGAGTTACAATTTACCCTAGTAGACATTTGACCCAGCCTATCATCTTGGTTGGGATTGGCGCACAAAAGGCTCCCAAAAGGCGGGGCCCATACTCCTTGTAACCAGGGAGACAATATGCATCTCCCCACTGATCGGATGTCTCCACCTGGCCTGACCCACCCTTGTATCTGGGCTTTGTTACCTGGAGCTGGTTTCCAGGACTTGTTTTTAAGTGAATCCCCTGGGGGAAGAGGAGCAGGGACAGTTTAACTTTAATGAAAGCCTCTTGCTAAGTAGGTCTTTACACTGAGTACTGGTTCAAAAACCTCCAAAACCTTTAACCTTTTTCCATCCACTATACTGACTAGCAGTGCTCCCAATGTAGGTCCATTAATGTAGGTCCTAGGGTGAGGATGCCACGGAGGGGAGCCCTTGACTGATCCCTGATGCACATGGAGGGTAAATAGAAAGAAACCGCTGTTGTGTTAAGCACCTGCAACATAAGTTGGCTTATCCTGACGGATACATTTGCCTTTAGCATCTACCAGCTACTGCACATTTCTTTACTCCCTCCCTGAGATAACATATTTAAGACAGTGGTGGTGGTGGTGGGGCAGACATGTAAACAAACCAATAACGTTCCATGGTTCCATGATAGAAATATGTATAGGATGTGGGTACATAAAGTTATCTGCTGACTGGAGGCACACGTTAAACGGAAAGCTTCTTAGAGGATCTGAATTTTCAGAAATGAACAGGTAGCCACGTCCGGAAAGGGTTTACCTGCTAGAGGGAATTGTGAGCCAGGATGGTGAAAGGAGCCTAAGTATTGCATTTTTAGAAAGCCGGAAGTACAAACCTTAAATTCTTATTAGCTGGAGGCCTTTGCTCTAGTGCCATCTAGTGGATTATTAAGGAAGAAGGAGACACTACACGCTGTGTAATGCTTTACAGATTTGAAGGCTCTGCCTCTAAAGCTTATGATAGATATCACAATATTAAGGGTCGGAAGATATGATCTAGTCTAATACTATCCAATAAAACTATAATGCAAGCCATATGTGTTATTTAAATTTTTTCTAGTGGTCACATTAAAAAGAAATAGCAAAATATTTTAAACACCTTTAACCCAATATACTAAAAATATTATTTCTACATGTAATCAACCTAAGAAGTTATTTATGAGATAGATACCTTACATTTTTTGGTACTAAGTATGTATTTGTATTGGCATTTTACACTTAGAACATACTTCATTTGGATTAGCCACATTTCAGGTGCTCAGTAGTCCACATGTAGCTAGTGGCTACTGTATTGGACAGCATAGATCTTTTCATTTTACTACAGAGGAAACAGAAGGAAGCTAAGTAACTTAGACAATATCATTGAATTAATGAGTTCTTCGTTGCTGGTTTGCAGCTCTTTCTACAATGTGATTTTTCTTTTTTTGAGGAACTCTTCAAAATACAGGATAGTAAAATATATTCAATAATGTGCTTTTTCACCCCTACATAATTCTTGTATGGACACATGTGAGTTGTTTTTTTTTTTTCCTGAGAAAACCTATTGTAGCAAATCAAAATTGTGAAATGACTGTAACTTAAACAATGTTTACATACTGGATTGCCCCTAGACCATCAATAGTGCCTCAGATTGAATTTGCTTTATGTGGCAAATACATATATTTAACTCATAATTCATCACTTGAACACTAACTTTATTTTAAAAAGAGCTAATATCATATGAAAGCTCTTTATTTTTTTTAAAGATTTTATTTATTTATTTGACAGATCACAAATAGACAGAGGCAGGTAGAAGGGTGGGGGGGTGCAGGTCCCCTGCTGAGTAGAGAGCCTGATGTGGGGCTCGATTCCAGGACCCTGAGATCATGACCTGAGCCAAAGGCAGAGGCTTAACCCACAGAGCCACCCAGGTGCCCCAAACATTAACTTTTTCTTATGTCTCCTTCTAGACTTTGTTTATACACATTGGGCATTTCTATATTGTAATAGTATGAGTGTAATTTGGACCCTTTTTTCCCTATTGCTTAACATTATGAA